AGACTAAGATTTTTATTTGTAGGTATCATTTTAATTTATTAGTTCAGTGTGGCCTCCAGATTCCAACTCAAAGCCGATAGATAGATAGATAGATAGATAGATAGATAGATAGATAGATAGATAGATAGATATAAATAGATATTGAGCACTAACTATGTACATCCAGTCAACCATTACTTTCCTTTGTTATCCAGGTGGAATGAGCACAGGACACTGAACCCAAGAGCTTTGGAAATAGCTGTGCCTTCCAGACTATTAGTCATGTTTCCAGTTCTGCCTTTTCAGCCAACATCTGGAAAAGAAACTTCTATGGGGAAGGGGCCAGCCATCTCCTCCTACTGTCACCTATGAGGTAGACAAGCCAGACTAACTGAAGCAATAAGACACCCCGAGAGAGCTAGGAGGCAGCTTGTACTAGGCAATTCAAAACACTGCCCTCCCCAACTGTGATTTCCCCTAAGATCCACATTTTTATTATATTGACTTGATATCTTCTTCTCTCTAGCTTCCCTGTTGGTCCAAATTTTCCTCTAGATGAATGCAAAACGGATGTAATCTGTTTTACACATTAAATATCTTCCAATACTTGGTGACAGTTATTATAATCCCTATACCAAATGTCTTCTTGTCAAGGCTAATTATTTCCAATCCAAAAATTCAATCCAGTAAGTATTTATTAAACATCTATTGTATGCAAGATACTATGCTAGGCATTGGGGATATAAAGAAAAAATAAAATAATCCCTGCCTTTGAATGCTACTTGGGGGAGAATTATTGCATTTTAACGAACAAGTATTTACATGGTTCTTTGGAGGAGGAGAGAACAACACTTTGGGGGATCAGCAAAAGCTTTCCAAAGTAGATGGTGTGGGAGCTTATCCCTGAAGGAAGCCAGGGATTCAAAAAATCAGAAGTGGGTAAGAATGTGTTCCAAGGGAGAAGGTATTGTGGGTACAAAGGCATCAAGGCTGCAGATACAGTATCTAGTTCTAGGAAAAGCAATTGGGCCAGTCTAGCAGAAATGTAGAGTACATGAAGAGGAATCATGTGAAATCGATTTGGAAACAGAGGCTGGTGTCACATTATGAAGAGGTCTGAATGCCAAGCTGAGGATTTTGTGCTTCATTCTAGGGGCAAAAAAAAAGAACCAATGAAGTTTCTTATCACGACAGTAACAGTCAGACCTATACTTCAGGAAGGTTTTTTTAAAAATTAAGTTCCCTTTCTTTTTTACATACATACATACATACATAACACACACACACACACACACACACACACACACACACTACCTAAAGTCTTCATCAATAACAAATAAATATAGTCAATTAAATTTAATCTCAACCTATTGGTCATTCCTGAAAATGGATGCCTCATTCTCCACCACTTCTCTGCCAAGTATCAGGAAGCATGCTTCACATTCAATCTTCAGCAGTCATGGTAAGTCACTGAATTGATCAGAGTTCTAGAGTTTTCCAGGCAAGTCAATAAGTATTTATTAAACACCTATCACATGCTAGATGGGCAGCTAGGTGTCAGAGTGGATAGCGCATCAGACCTAGAGTCAGAAAGAGGTCAAATCCAGCCTCAGACACTTAATAGCTATTAAGTGTGACCCTGGGCAAGTTACTTAACCCAGTTTGCCTCAATTTCCTCATCTGTTGAATGAATTGGAGAAGGAAAGATACTCCAGTATCTTTGCCAAGAAAACCCCAAATGGGGTCATGAAGAATCAGACACAACTGAAAATGACTAAACAACATGTTAGGTACTGGGCTAAGCACTAGAGAGACAAAGAAAGGCAAGTTTATATCCCCAAAGAGCTCACAATCCAACAGGAGCGGAGACAATATGCAAAGAAGCTATGTACAAACAAGATATAAACAGGATAAATTGGAATTAATCTCCTTTTGGGATCTCTTCCAGGAGGTGATCAGTGGGTTCTTTCAATTTCTATTTTACCCTCTGGTTCTAGAATATCAGGGCAGTTATCTTTGATAATTTCTTGAAAGATGATGTCTAGGTTCTTTTTTTGATCATGGCTTTCAGGTAGTCCAATAATTTTAAAATTATCTCTCCTGGATCTATTTTCCAGGTCAGCTGTTTTTCCAATGAGAAATTTCACATTGTCTTCTATTTTTTTTTGTTCTTTTGGTTTTGTTTTACAATTTTTGATTTTTTGTAGTCATTAGCTTCCATTTGCTCCATTCTAATTTTTAAGGAAGTATTTTCTTCAGTGATCTTTTGGACTTCCTTTTCCATTTGGCCAATTCTGCTTTTTAAGGCACTCTTCTCCTCATTGGCTTTTTGGACCTCTTGTGCCATACGGGTTAGGCTATTTTTAAGGTATTATTTTCTTCAGTATTTTTTGGGTCTCTTTTAGCAAGCTGTTGACTTATTTTTCATCATTTTCTTGCATCATTCTCATTTCTCTTCCAGTTTTTCCTCTTCTTCTCTTACTTGCTTCTCAAAATCCTTTTTGAGCTCTTCCATGGCCTGGGACTGATTCATATTTTTCTTGGAGGCTTTGGATGTAGGAGCTTGTCTTTGTTTTCTTATTCTGATTGTATGTTTTGATCTTCTTTGTCACCAAAGAAAGATTCTATGGTCAGACTTTTTTTTTGTGCTGTTTGCTCATTATCCCAGCCAATTACTTGAGTTTTAAACTCTTTGCTAAGGTAGGGGTCTGCTTCTGGTGTGAGAATGTACTGTCCCAAGATTTGAGGGTTTTGTGCAGATGTTCTCAGAAATACTTCTAGGGACCTATAAACTTTCAGTGCTTCCAAGGTGGTATAATCAAGGATGAGGTATTTACTCCTTTCCTGGACTGGGCTCTGGTCCATGAGTGACCATAAGCACTCTTTTCTGATTTGGAACTGTGAGGAGAATTCTCTCTGTACCACCACTACTAGCTCCACCATGCCCGCACTCTTCCTTGCCCCAAGATCTCACAGAACTGTGATTCAGATCCAAGCATGGGCAAAGCAAGAGAATCCTGCCTTAATGCTAGCAAAGAGATCCCTGAAATCCCCTCTGATCAGCCACTCAATTGCCCCTCCATCTGCGGGCTGACAGTTCCAGAAGCAGCCCCTCCTCGGTGCTGCACCAGGATTGGGGCAGGACCAAGCTTCTCTCTCATTGCAGGATAGACCTTTCCTACTGACCTTCTAAGTTGTCTTTGGTGTTTGTGGGTTGAGAAACCTGGAAACTGCCACAACTCCCCTTAATTCAATCCCCTGAGGACTGCTCCAGGTTCACTGAGGCCTGGTCTTTGCCTGCACCCCCACACTGAACTATGCTCCTCTCCCAGTCTGGTGCAACAGATCTTTCCAATTAACCATCCAGGTTGTCTTGGGCTGGAAATTTGTTTCACTCTGTCTTTTTGTAGCTTCTGCTGCTCTAGAATTTTTTTAGAGCCATTTTTCACAGGTATTTGAAAGGCTTTGAGGGAGAGATCAAGCAAGTCACTGGTTTTACTCCGCCATCTTGGCTCTGCCTCTGGAGTTAATCTCAAGGCAGTAACATTAAGGTGGAAAATCTGTTATCTTCAGTGAATTTGCTACTCGTTGTCTACATCAGGTATCTGAGAACGTGTAGCTGGAAATCCTCATGCTGTCACCATAATGCTGCTGGCATTTACCCTACCCTGTGCAATCCATCATGCTCCTACTCTGAGATCAAAGCAAGGGTATCCGAGCTTGGGATTTCTTCTGGGGTTTTCTTCCACAAATAGGAAGAAAGTTGTCATTAGCCATTATGGTACCTATTGGATGGGTACTACAGATGGATCTAGGGCAAAGCATTAGAAGAATTCCATTTGGGGATAGAAGAATGAGGTCCAAAGGAGAACACTCAGACCTCAAAATAGAAACAGAAAGCTCAGGATACCAGTCACTGGGCAGAGACCCTAGGATTCCATGAGGCTGTTGCTGGAAGCTAGAAGGAGGCCGTGGACAGAATGGGGAGATGCTCACTGGGGAAATGACAAGAAAGGTAGAGGAAGAGCTTCCTACTTTAATTATTCTTGCTAAGCATATACTAAACTAAATATTTTCAAAGGCAACTAGGTGGCATAATAGATAAGATGCTAAATTTAGAGGCAAGAAGATCTGAAACCCTGCCTCAGATACTTACTAGTTGTATGCTTCTTGATCTCCCTCAGTTGCAATTTCTTCATTTATAAAATGGGTATAATAAAAACAGCTACATCCCAGAACTGTGACAAGCAAATGGATAAAACTTTCATGTATCAGTTATTTGTTGTTTGTTTAGTATTTAAGGTTAGTATGACACTTGAGGAATTGGTTGCATCATTATACATATATAGATCTTTTTATATAATATGGAAATTTACAATTATTGATATATATGTATACAAAATCAGGTCCTCTGGAAAGCTGATACATGGGGCCGTGCTATAGAGCCCTAATGGAGGGGAGCACAAAGGTAATCAATGCTTCAATTAAGTATTGCTACTGTGTGGTGTTGTATATCCAGGAATGTTGTCATATCAACCTTCAGGAACCTGTGGCACCTACATACAAGGCAGGTAGTTATATACCTGTGGGATGCTGGCTCTTCTTGACACCGACTGCTGAGACTGTACAAGTCGCATCCAGCATCACAGTAGTCACACTGTACTATTCCCCATTTCTAACTTTAGGAAGAGACTAGAGTATGTTCACAGGTTTTACATTTCTGGTGTTCAGTCACCAATCAGAAGAAGGATTTGACCTATTTGAAAAGTGCATTACGCATAACCCCTTAACCACCGTTATATTACTTTTTTTTTTTGGAAGAAGCAATTAGGGTTAAGTGACTTGCCCAGAGTCATATAGTTAGTGTTATGTGTCTGAGGCCAGATTTGAACTCAGTTCCTCCTGACTCCAGGGCTGGTGCCCTATCCATTGCACCACCTAGCTGCCCTGACTGTCATGCTCTTGATAGTAAAATGGCAGCACATTAAAAGGCTTTAAAATTGCAGCTCCTTCTGGATTCCCTAAAGAGTATCTGAGCTCTTCTTTAAACGGGCTTCCTCCTCCAGATTCAGGTTTATCTGCACCACATCTGAAATACCATTCTGCCCTAAGACATCTGGGACACTAAGGAAGACATCCTCATTAATGCCATATAGGCCCTTAATCATGGTGGAAACTGGATGCACTCTCCTAAGAATCTTAACGCTTTCTTCCAGACCTGCCACGGCCAAGCCAATGGCCCAGGAAGTGTAGCCCTTCAGCTTGATCACCTCATAAGCACTTTCAACCACCTGTTCGTGAACATCTTTCCAATTCTCTGAGTCAGCATCAGTTCCCAAAGCAGGATAAAAATTTTTCAGAGAGACACCAGCAACATTCACACCTCTCCACACAGGAACACAGGAGTCTCCACGTTTCCCAAGGACCCATCCATGACAACTTGAAGAATGAACACTAAGTCTCTCCCCAATTAGGTAACAGGAACAGGCAGAAGCCAGCTTGCGACCACTTCCAATAACACAGTTCTTAGGAAAGCCACTTAGCTTCCAGGCCACATAGGTCAAAATACCCACTGGATTGAAACAGTAAACAGCTTGCAATTAGGGCTATATTGAACAATATCTGGAATGATGAATTCAAAGATATTCACATTGCACTGGACCAAATTAAGATGACTTTCTCCCTCCTGATGGAGTGTTCCAGCCATAACAACAACCAGCTCTGAGTTTGCAGTCACACTGTAGTCTTTGCCACAAAAAATCTTTGGCATTTTGAGGAAAAGGCTGCCATGTTGGAGACCCATCATCTCTCCCTTTAATTTGTCTTCTATTACATCAACTAGGGCAAGTTCATCGGCCAAATCCTTCCCTAAGATACTGACTGCAAATGCCATGTCAATTGCATCACCCCAACAACAGTGCTTTTGTTATGGGGACCTGGTCTTCCTTTAGGACATTCACAATCATCTGATCCTTGGCAGTTATTGCCATTTTGGGGGAGTTCGGGGTTGCTGATCAGGCTGTGAAAGTTCTGAGTTAGATGTGAGACTGCCACTCCCAGACAAAACTTTTCACAAACATCACATTGTTATATAAAGGTGAGCAGTTATCATTATTTCTACCTGCTGAAAAAAAAAAAATGAGTGCTATCAGTACTCTTTAAATTTTGGCCCTAGGGCAAAGATCCAGTTGCCCTGTCCTAGTTATGTTCCTGAAAAAGAGCCAAGGCTAAGGCATTTTATTGGATAAAAGCAAATATATCCCTTGCTTAACTCAACAGCTTCAAGGTGCTTTTTAGTATCTCACAATAAACACAGACTACCTCTTTTGAATAATAGCACTTCCTCTTACTGTGAATGAGTTGGGCTTTGCTGCAAAATGTCATATGGGGAGAAGGCACCAATATCTTACCATTTTAGGAGAGTGTCATCTACTGCAGCGGTGTCAAACTCAACTCAGAACCATACAGCCATATATTGACTTAGAAAATCACATATTAACATTATCTATGTTCTATTTTATTTTTATATATTTTGTTGAATATTTTCCAATTTTAATCTGGTTCAGGCAGCATTCAGGACTGTTACTGGCATCATGTGGTTGCTAGCCCTGTTTGACACCTCTATTCTTTAGAATAGACACTTCCATATTTTACAGAACTGTGATGTAGAGGTTAAGGGTAGTCTCTCCACAGACACATGATTACAACCCCTTTCCAATATAGTAGACAGTTGTTGAGCCTTGCTGTAGTCCCCCCAAAATCTATAATTCTAGTGATGAGCTAAGTCAGTCTTCAAGATAGTAAATATGCCATGGATCACTGGACGCATACTCAGTGTGTTTCCAGCTGGGAAGACACTGCCAGAACTTTATGGGAAACATGATGTAGTAATAACAGCGACAACAATAATAATAATAAATAGCTAACATTTATATAGTGCCTACTACGTGCCAGCTACTACGTTAAGTACTTTACAAATATTATTTCACTTGATCCTTACAAAAACTCTATCAGGTAAGTTATTATTCTATATCTATATCTATATCTATATCTATATCTATATCTATATCTATATCTATATCTATATCTATATCTATATCTATCTATCTATCTGTATCTGTATCTGTATCTATATCTGTATCTATATCCATATCCATATCCATATCCATATCCATATCTATATCCATATCTATATCTATATCATCTATATCTATATCCATATCCATATCTATATCTATATCCATATCCATATCTATATCTATATCCATATCTATATCTATATCTATATCTATATCTATATCTATATCTATATCTATATCTATATCTATATCTATATATCTATATCTATCTCTATATCTCTATCTATCTATAACTATCTCTATCTCTATCTATCTATCTTTATCTCTATCTCTATCTCTCTATATCTATATCTATATCTGTATCTACATCTGTATCTACATCTCTATCTCTATATCTATATATCTGTATCTATATCTATATCTATACATCTGTATCTATATCTGTATCTACATCTCTATCTCTATCTATCTGTATCCCTATCTATCTCTATCTCTATCTCTATCATCTATCTATCTATCTATCTATCTATCTATCTATCTATCTATCTATCTACCTATCTAACTCTGTATCTATATCTATGTCTATGTCTATGTCTATCTCTATCTATCTATCTATCTATCTATCTATCTATCTATCTATCTATCTCTATCTCTATCTCTATCTGTATCCGTATCTGTCTATATCTATATCTATATCTATATCTATATCTATATCTATATCTATATCTACATCTACATCTACATCTACATCTACATCTATATCTATATCTATATCTATATCTATATCTATATCTATATCTATATCTATATCTATATCTATATCTATATCTATATCTATCTATATCTATATCTATATCTATATCATCTATATCTATATCTATATCTATATCTATATCTATCTCTATCTCTATCTCTATCTCTATATCTATCTGTCTGTCTGTCTGTCTGTCTGTCTATCTATCTGTCTATCTATCTATATTTTTTTTTTAGTGAGACAATTAGGGTTAAGTGACTTGCCCAGAGTCACACAGCTAGGAAGTATTATGTGTCTGAAGTCACATTTGAACTCAGGTCCTCCTGTCTCCAGGGCCAGTGCTCTATCCACTGAGCCACCTAGCTGCCCTTTATTATCTCTATTTTACAAATGAAACTGAGGCAAAAAGGGGTCAAGTGATTCGCCCAGGGTCACACAGCTATAATCCTAGTTGAAGCCTTCAGCACCTCTTGCCTGAACTACTTCAATAACCTGATAATTGGTCCCTGCCTCAACTTCCCCATTTCCAACATATCCTCCACTCAGTCCCCAAGATGATTTCTCTAAAGCATAGATCTGACCATGTCACCTCCTTGCTCAGTGAGTGTCAGTAGCTATCCTTATTACCTCCCAGATCAAATAAAAAGTCCTCTGGTTGGCATTTAAAGCTTTTTACAATCTTTTTACTTTTACCAGTCTTTTTTTTCTTTATTCCCCTCTATACATTCTATGATCTAGCCATGGTGGCCTCTATGAATTCCTCAAACAGAACATATCATATCCCATCTCTGCATTTGTAAGACTGTTTCCCCTACCTGGAATGCTCTTCCTCCTCTTAATTTTCTTAATTTTCCTGGCTTGTTTCAAAATTCAGCTCAAACTGCTCCCCTCAAATAGAATGCCTTCCTTTGCTCTACCCCCCCAGTTAACAATGCCTTTCCCATTCAGATTATTTTCCATCTACTCAAAAATATCTTATATGTATCTAGTTATTTACATATTGACTTCCCCATTCAAACATGAATTCCAGGAAGACAGGGATTACTCTTGCTTCCTTTAGCGCTTATGTACTGCCTGGCCTGTACTGAAGGCTTGATAAATGCTTGCTAACTAGACTGACTATGCCTTCACAATTTTTCTTTATCCTAAGGCTTTAACGGGCCATTTTTCCAGGGATAAGCCTATACTCCTAGTCATGCTGCCATGGGTGGAACTCTGATGTCATCTGCTTAGAACTGTGATCTTGTCTAAAACCTTGGAAGAACATCACTGCTGATGTCAAGCTGTCTGCCACTCCAGTTGCCGGCCCGTGCTCTAAACACACTCTTTCCTCCTCCTCCACCCTCAATCCCTGGACCATCTCATTTCCTCAAGCTAATCAAATTGCATCAGTAATTTTATAGGATCCCAAATTGGCTCATATCTTGAACTGGACGTGAAGGGGGCGACGAGCATGGAAACTGCCTAAAGAATTTAAGCCATTCACAAAGCATCAACGTAAGTCATCGGTCCATTAAGGATAAAGTGCCTTGTTATGGAGAAATCAGGTTATTATTCTAGGAAGGAGTCATCAGTTATCTTGGCCCCACTTCATGCAGCAAATCCTAAAACTGTTTTCAGCAAAGTCTTGCCTAGCCCAGTGTCTTGAGAGGCTTACCTTGACCCTCCAAATCTGGGTTAACCTGAGGGCTTACCTGTTAAACAAGAACATATTCTGAATGTTCTTCTGGTGCACCTACTCTTTGCTCATTCTCACCAGAAGAGTATTTATTTGCTAAGACTAAAGCATGTCCCTGCCATTATGATTGAGATCACAGGGGCCTGGATTACACAAGTTTCATTGTACAGATGGGTCACTTTGGGATCGCCATGTTGATAGACTCTGATGTGAAGGCATCCTCCCCTGGGGCCTTGGCAACAGCAGAACCATTAGAAGTCCCATCTCTCTATTGCCATCTGGCATTGGTTTTTCAGCTACATCTCCTGAGAACTCAGTCAAGACCCAGAGAGAAGGAAGTGATCATTCGTTGTCCATTGCAACTGGTGAAGTGGCATTGTCTAATCTTCTGATATTTCTTTTTATTATTTAATTTTATTATGAATATAAAAATAGTTTAAGATTTTCCTTGTTTTAATCAGTCATGATTTGCCTTTTTATCATCCCCCCACCCCTTTCTAATGGATAATACAAAAAAATTGCGAATAGGTATAGTCAATCAAAACAAATGTCCATATTGTCCGTATACAAAAAAAAATTGTCACATTCTGCATTCTGAATGCTTTGTCTCTCTATCAGAAGGCAGATAACATGTTTCATCATTAGTTCTCTGGAACCCTGGTTGGTCTTTACTTTGATAAAAGTTTAGCACAATAGTATTCCAATATATTTACATACCATAATTTATTCATCCATTCTCCAGTTTATGGACACTCCCTCAGATTCCCATCCTTTGCCACCTCAAAAAGACATAAATATTTGTGTACATTCTTAGACTTTGTTTTGCTTAGGGCTAGTCCTACTACCTTGAATTTGCTCTCACCCTCTTCTCCCCTTTCCCTTCTATTTCCCTGTTGAGTAAAATGCATTTCTGTACCAAACTCTCTGTGTGTATATATATAATATATATATGTAATATTATATATATATACGTTATATATAATATTATATATTATATATATGTATATATTATATATGTTATATATATATATACACACACACACATATATATGTATAATACATATATGTGTGTATGTATATACATAATATACATATATGTGTGCATGTATGTGTATACATACATATATATTCTTCTTTCTTTTGATTAATTCAGATGAGAGTGAGGTTCAGATATAGGCCTTTTCTTCCTACTCCCTTCTCTTTGTTTATATAGATGTCTACTTGTGCTGCCCTGGTTACTTGAGATAACTTTTCCTAATCTTCCTCTCCCTTCCTCCCTCCCAACCCCAGTATATTCTCTCTTTCCATTCTTTTCTTAAGATCATCAAAACATAACAGAAAAACTCCCAGGCCTTGTCTAATTGGACTCTCTCTATGCACCC